TTAGCCAGGATGGTCTCGATCTCCTGACCTCGTGATCCACCCGTCTCAGCCTCCCAAAGTGCTGGGATTACAGGCTTGAGCCACTGCGCCCGGCCGAAAACCTTGCCTCTTTTAATGAAATGAAGTAGGAATTACAAAGATTGGATTAGATTTATCTTATCTCAGTCCTGAATTTCAGACATTCTAAAATTAGAAAAATATAAGAAACCAAGTGTGGTGGTATGCACCTGTTGTCCCAGCTACTTGGGAGTCTGAGGCAGGAAGATCACTTGAGCCCAGGAGTTCAAGGCTATGGCGAGCTATGACAGTCACTGCACTCCAGCCTGGGGGACAGAGTGAGACCCTGTCTCTAAAAGTATATATGAGGCCAGGTGTGGTGGCTCATACCTGTAATCCCAGCGCTTTGGGAAGCCGAGGTGGGCAAGTCACAAAGTCAGGAGTTTGGGACCAGCCTGGCCAACCTAGTGAAATCCCATCTCTACTAGAAATACAAAAAATTAGCCTGGCGTAGTGGCAGGTGCCTGTAATCCCAGCTACTTGGGAGACTGAGGCAGGAGAAGTGCTTCAACCCAGGAGGTGGAGGTTGCAGTGAGTTGAGATTGTGCCACTGTAGTCCAGCCTGGAAAACAATGCGAGACCGTCTCAAAACATATGTGTGCATATATATATACACACACTTTAGCCTCACCCGCAGATTGCCAAATCGAAGCAATCCTAAATCCACTTTTATTTTTAATTGACAATAATTGTATATATTTGCGGGGAACAATGTGATGTTCTGATATATGTATATACTGCAGAAAAAAAGCTAACATGTCCATCACCTTAGTTACTTTTTGTGGTGAGGATGTTTAAAATCTTTTAGCAATTTTGGAGTGTATATTAATACATTGTTTCTTGAATTCCATGGCAGGTTAAATACATCATCATTAACTCTAGTTGCCATGCTGTGCAGGGGATCCCTAAAACTCATTTCTCTGATCTAACTGAAACTTGTTTGTATCTTTTCATCAACATTTCCTTTTTCCCCATTTTTTCCCCCAGTCTCTGGCAACCACCATTTTACCCTCTGCTGCTATGAATTTGATTAGTTTAGAATCCACATGATTGAGATCCTACTAAATCTTTTTTTTGGGGGGGGGTGGGGCGGGGGGAGGTGGACAGAGTTTCGCTCTTGTTGCCTAAGCTGGAGTGCAATGCCACAATGTCGGCTCACTGCAACCTCTGCCTCCCGGGTTCAAGTGATTCTCCTGCCTTAGTCTCCCGAGTAGCTGGGGTTACAGGTGCATGCCACCATGCCTGGCTAATTTTTTGTATTTTGAGTAGAAATGGGGTTTTACCATGTTAGCCAGGCTGGTCTCGATCTCCTGACCTCAGGTGATCTGCCTTCCTCGGCAGTAGCGTCTTAAGCCTAAGTGCTTGTGTGCTGTAACATACTGTTCTGCTCAGGACATCTCGGTCTGTCGGGTAGCTTTAGAGTAGGTGGTGGTCAGGATTCCCATGCATGTTCTGTGCCAGCCCTTCTGCCTCACTTGTTGCTTCACTGAAACCCCACAGTAATCCTTGAAGAGGCAGGTACTCTGATTTCCAGCTTCCAGAGGAGAGCCCAGCCTTAGATGTTCAGGTACTTTCCATGTGGATATATGATGAAGGTTGCAGAAGGACTTGAACTTGGAGCTGTTGCTCTGCTCTGAGGATCACTACAAGGAGGAGTCAACAGCCTCTTAGAGTTGAGTTACCTATGAGGAAACCAACCCTCAGCCTTGGTACCATGACACGTGGATCTAATTCTCTGCCTTAGCTGCTGTTTGCTGCAATGTTATTAGCAATCCGTTGTGGCAGAACGCTCCCCGCGGTAGAAAGAAAAAGAAAGAATGCAGGAAAAAGCCATATTCGCTTCTCCAGGAAGTTGATCCACCCATGACAGTTGTCCAGGGACTGTCACCTCTCCACTCTTTTCAATGACAGTTGTCCAGGGACTGCCACCTCCACTCTTTTCAGTAATAGTTATCCAGGGAATGTCACCTCTCCACTCTTTTCAGTGACAGTTCTCCAGGGACTGCCACCTCTCCACTCTTTTCAGTGACAGTTGTCCAGGGACTGCCACCTCTCCACTCTTTTCAGTGACAGTTGTCCAGGGACTGCCACCTCTCCACTCTTTTCAGTGACACTTGTCTAGGGACTGTCACCTCTCCACTCATTTCAGTAACAGTTGTCCAGGGAATACCACGTCTCCACTCTTCAGTGACAGTTGTCCGGGGAATACCACGTCTCCACTCTTTTCAGTGACAGTTGTCCAGGGACTGCCACCTCTCCACTCTTCAGTGACACTTGTCCAGGGACTGTCACCTCTCCACTCATTTCAGTAACAGTTGTCCGGGGAATACCACGTCTCCACTCTTTTCAGTGACAGTTGTCCAGGGACTATCACCTCTCTACTCTTTTCAGAGGCCTTTCCCGTAAAGAGGGTATTTGTGATAACCTGTTTCCTGCGCCTCGGGAAAACGTGTACCCACAGGTATCGCCTCATCTTGTAAAGCAAATTAAATTATTAAATCAGAACAGGGTTAGAAATAGTCAAACCTGGTGGGGTGCGGTGGCTCACACCTGTAATCCTAGCACTTTGGGAAGCTAGTGGATCACGAGGTCAAGAGATATAGACCATCCTGGCCAACATGGTGAAACCCTGTCTCTACTAAAAACACAAATTAGCTGGGTGTGGTGGTGCACACCTGTAATCCCAGCTACTCAGGAGGCTGAGGCAGGAGAATCGCCTGAACCTGGGAGGCAGAGGTTGCAGTGAGCCGAGATTGCACAAGTGCACTCCAGCCCAGTGACAGAGCAAGACCCCGTCTAAAAAAAAAAAATTCAAATTTGGCTGGGTGCAGTAGTTCAAGCCTGCAATCCCAACACTTTGGGAGGCCAGGACAAGAGGACTGCTTGAACCCAGGAGTTTGAAACCAGTCTGGGCAATGTAGTGAGACGTTGTCTCTACTTAAAAAAACAAACAAACAAAAAACTGGTGGACTGACAGCAAGTCTGTGGTCCCAGCTACTGGAAACGCTGAGGCAGGAAGACTGCTTCAGCCCAGGAGTTGAAGGCTGCAGTGAGCTCTGTCTGCACCACTGTACTCCTGCCTGGGCAACAGCAAGACTCAGTCTGGGGGGAAAAAAAAAACTCATTGAATAGATTTGAGCTCCCATGACATCTCTAGGCTCTTGTCTCCCATCTCTACCCTCCTTTAAATATTTTCTTCTGTGTGTTTTATAATTTATCTTCTGACTCATAATTAATTGAAGTAATCTCAGCAAGCCCATCTTAAAACTCTCCCATGGAAAGAACGCTAGGCAGAAGGAAAGACAGAGGCTAACTACCGGGGACGAGTTTGTCCCTGCAGGTGAGGGAGTATAAAGCAGGTGCCCTGTCTAAGCGAGCGGAGCAAAAAATCAATGTTAAGAGAACCTGTCCCCCTGCAGGCTGATTTTTTCCCTTGGTGGGATGCTTCCAGGTCCAGGGAGGTGACTTGACAGGACCTTACTGCATATCTGCAAGTCTAGCTCAAAAACTATAAATGCACAGATGTCAAGCAAGGGTGACCTCACACCAATACCGCCCCTCAGAAAATAACAAGCTGCTGTCTATGTGAGTCTTTAAAATGTTTTATTACGCGGTATTCCTTCTATTGCTTTCTTGTCTACCACAAAGTAATGGTGGGGGCAAACAAGATTTGCTCTAACTGGCCAACCAGTACTGGTTGTCACTATTTGTAGAGCTGTTATAATGACAAAGAAATTTGAGAGATTTAGGAATTATTCCTGGGGTCTTAAAACTGCTACATTTTGATGTCATCATAGACCAGGCTTCTTGACAACTTAGAGAAGCAATTCATAGCAGAGGTCCTGGATGCTCATCTGTAAAATGAGTTAGCAAATAGGGGTAGAACTGGTCCTGATGATGACTTACAACGTTAATCTTACCATGTGCGCGTTAGCCATTTGCATAGCTTCTTTGGAGAAATGGATATTCAGACCCTTTGCCCATATGAAATTGGATTCTTTGTCTCCCTATTATTGCATGTATATTATCTAGATGTAAATCCCTAATCAGATACGACTTTCAAGTATTTATCAGTTTATTTTTACACCAAGACTGTTTACTGTGTTTATGGAACTCGATGTCAACAGGCGTAACAGAAATCAGCTGATGGAAGAATCCTGTAACTGGCTACTAGTAACTGGTAGGAATCTATTTGCCAGTGGTTTTTTGTTTGTTTTTTGAGATGGAGTTTCAATCTTGTCCAGGCTGGAGTGCCATGGCGCAGTCTCGGCTGACTGCAACTTTCGCCTTCCAGATTCAAGCGATTCTCCTGCCTCAGCCTCCTGAGTAGCTGGGGTTACAGGCATGTGCCACCACTCCTGGCTAATTTTTTAAAATATATTTTTAATAGAGATGGAGTTTCACCATGTTGGCCAGGCTGGTCTCGAACTCCTGACCTCAAGCGATTCACCTGCCTTGGCCTCCCAAAGTGCTGGCATTTCAGGCATGAGCCACTGCGCCCGGCCACAGCCAGTGTTTCTGAGTACGACATACTAGCCAAGAGCATCTGTGGCATGCATGTCCAATTTTATTCTAAGATGCTGTTTGGGAACTAAGGGTACAGAAAACAAAATATCCCAGCACTGATGTTCTAGTAACGGGATAAACAGATATTGTGGCAACAAATGCTTCATCCATGAAGAATTGAAAAGAGAGAAGGCTGTTCATCTAGTGAGGTGACCGACATTAGTTGTATCAACTCTAGGATTTGCTGCAAGATCCTCTTGAATCTTGTCACTCTTTCCACAGGTCCTACTTGCTCCATGTTACCAGAGAATCCACTTTCCCCCCAAAACCTGAGTTCTCAGCCTTGTCTCAAGATGGAAGGAGACAAATCGCTCACCTTTTCCAGCTACGGGCTGCAATGGTGTCTCCACGAGCTAGACAAGGAAGAATTTCAGATATTTAAGGAATTACTAAAGAAGAAATCTTCAGAATCGACCACATGCTCTATTCCACAGTTCGAAATCGAGAACGCCAACGTGGAATGCCTGGCACTCCTCTTGCATGAGTATTACGGAGCGTCGCTCGCCTGGGCTACGTCCATTAGCATCTTTGAAAATATGAACCTGCCAACCCTCTCAGAGAAAGCAAGGGATGACATGAAAAGTAAGTGAGACTTGGGGCAAGTCCAGGGCAGGGAAGGTGATTTCAGGTTCTCACGGGAACAGGGGAGGATCATTGTTCAGTAACTGGGTCGACCTCTGCAGTGTGAGTCTGAGCTGTGAAAAGGATCTCATTGGTCATCGTCACTGGCTGGAAATTAGTGCAGTCTCTAGCCTGTAAAGTGACGGAGGAGGGAGAAAAATGGGTAGACAACAGCTCCACTCACACGGACTTCCACGGAAGTTAATAGGATTTGAGGTGTAAGTACTAAGCTTGAGTGGCACCATCACGGGTCTGTCATGAGACTTTGGGAACGTCTCCTTCTGTTCTGACCCTTGGTTGCCACATCTTGGAACAGGAAATGTGATACTGTGTGTGCCATTGCAAAAGCTCAATAATGCAATGAGTTAGAAAGTGGCTAAGAACCTCGTTGGTTGAGAACGCTAATAGTGGTTTGGTGTGAGTCTCACACTTGGCCATGAGATGAAGGACTGAGGTTCCAGGTGCTGATCTAAAGCTTGGCCTTTCTTAGACTGTTGGTGTCCATAGTGCAGCGAGAATTCAGGTCAGATTCTGTGGTTATTTTAGGGTATTTAGGAGAAAGGTCGTTTAGAAAATAGTAGTTCTTTTTTATCAGGAGAATCCCTTGACTGAGCCCCTGAATTGGCCCTACAAATACAGGTGTGGACTGGATGCGGTGGCTCCCAGCTGTAATCCCAGCACTTTGAGAGGCTGAGGTGGGAGGATCACTTGAGGTCAGGAGTTCAAGACCAGCCTGGTCAACATGGCAAAACCCCGTCTCTACTGTCTCTACTTAAAAACACAAAAAATTAGCC